GATTCATACCTCAAGAGAAGTGCTGCCTTTGGGTTAGAAGTTCAATTCCCTATGAACTACATTTTTTTTAAATAGTAAAGCACCTCCGTCTAACTTTTCCAATCTTATATTCCTCTAGATACAGGAAACACCTGGGATTTCCATGAAAAAAGAGAAAGAATACACAGCCAAAATCAGCTGACGTTAAGTCAACTTCAATGCACGGTGGCTCAACAGGAGCCAGAGGAGAACTGGGTTCCATAAGGTTTGCAGTAGCTGAATTTTGAAAGTCTACCACTAGACCTATCTTCTGAGGCACTTCTGATGACCTAAACTTTCTTTTTAATATTATGATTATTAATTTTAATGAAAATTTACAGAGAATTTGGATTTCCATTCATTCATTGTTGCACTTTTCTCCCTGTCCACTCCTCCCTCCCAATTCACTCTTTTCTTTGAAAAGTTAAAGAAATATTCATTCATGGTTATACAATCCATCTCCCCAAGTCCTTCTCCACTATGCAGCCTTTGTTCTGGACTCCTATCATGACAATAGTACCTAATCATATATTCCTTTTAAAGAGTTCTCTCCCTCATCCGTTTCAATGCAGTATACATTATTTATCCCCTCTTTCTCAGTCTCCCCACAACCCTGATGCCAGTTTTGTTTTACAACAGTGGCGCTAGGCAGTATTTGTCCTTTTGTGACTGAGATATTTCACTCAGCATAATGTCCTCCAGGGTCATTCATTTTGAATAATATTTCATGAGTTCCTTGGTTTTCAATGCATTGCATTGTGTTACCATACCACAGCTTCTCTATCCATTTGTTTGTTGATGGGCACTTAGGTTGTCTCCAACTATTTGTTGTTGTGAACAAAGCCTCAATAAACATGGCTGTTCATACCTCTGCTTGGGTGGCAGTTATAGTTTTTTGGGGGTGATCCCCAGTAGTGGAATTGCCAGGTCAAATGGTATTTCTATTTGCAACTTTTTGAGATAGCACCATACTGCCTTCCATAGTGGTTGCATCATTTTACACTTCCAGCAACAGTGAATAAGGGTTCCAGTTTCTCCACAACCTCGCCAGCATTTATTGTTTGCTGTTCTGTTAAATTTTGCTATTCTTACTGGGGTGGGTGATATCCCATAGCTGTTTTGATTTGCATCTCTCTTAGAGCTAGGGATTTTGAACATTTCTTCATGTGTTTATTGGCCATCTGAATGTCTTCCTTGGTTAACTGTCTGTTCAACTTCCAGTATTTTCACTAGTAGTTCAGTGTGTTAACCATGTGAACCAAACTAGAGCTGTATGAAGGAACATCCTTTTTAGCTTCTGCTAAATTGTTTCTGGAACAAAAAAACCCCTGTGTGCCACAGAACGTAGCATTTCCTGGTCCTGTGCTATCCTCACAATGTTCTTACTTGTGAGAAAGAGTGTGCTGTTTTGTTTGACTTGAAAGAAGTACAAACAAGATGTTCTTTAGAGGCAAGGATGGTAAAACTTCATCTCACATCCCTCAGGCATGTTATCAGGAAGACTCAGTCCTTGGAAAAAGACGTCATACTGGGAAAGGCAAAGAATATTTTGGGAGATAATTTTGAGTTGAAATGGCAGGATACTTCTGCTGATGCATGAATTATACACATATTACTAAGTTTAATTCTGGAAAAGGAAGTCATGAGATGTCACCACTTCACATATGGAGCTAAGCGAGGTTTAAGGTGAAAACCTCTAGCTTTGTGATAGAATCACGATTTGAACCAAAGACTTTCAAAATGAGACGTTACACTGCTTCCCACAACTGTAGGATACTAGATACAAACTGCATAGATACAACATATACGAAAAAAGAGAGAAAGTGGCACTGAGCAACGTAGGGTCACTGTGAGTTAGAGCTAAGCCAAAGACGCCTAGCACCAACAAACTTAAAAATCTCAAAATCATTGCTGAAAGTTGAAGCCGACTTACAGCTGGCGCTGACCCTTCATTGACTTTCCAGGGCTGTAAATTGCAAGAGAGAAGATTGAATCTCCAGAAAGGTACTGCCTTTGGATTAGTATTGCAACTGCCTGCAGACTGTGACTTCAGAACTCCTCTCAGCAATGATAGCAACACCACTCAAATACAAACGTCAAAACTTTAAAATGTAATAAACTTCCAAAGCCAAAGTCCAAATAGAACAGCTCATGTGGTAAGAAGAGAGAGGAGAAAGGATTCCTTACACAGAAATTTAGATCGAGAAACAGCTATAATATCCTCAAACATTCAAGCCATCATAATAAATATCCCAAGTAAAAGTTTGTTTACTTTAGCTCCATTTTGCAAAGAATCTAAACATATGGTATTAAGATAATGTTAGCTAGAGCTTATGTATTAGAACTGATTAACATCTTAGAATTTGAATAAAAAGAAAAACATTTGTCTCTAATATGTTTATTAAAAGTACAGATAACTGAAGCTTAAAAACTTTAAAAATAAATAAATAAATTTTAAAAAGAAACTTTCTTCAAAGTATTTATCAGCATCTGAACCACCACTGATTTTTAAAATAGAATGTGAAGTATATGAACTAAAAAATAAGTATCATATAACAGTAGCTTTGAATGAATCATTTAGAGTTCTACAGATATTTTTGTTTTAGAATAAAGTTTTTTTTAAAAAAATCACATTACTTTTAAAATAAGGTAAGAAGTGGGCAATGTATAACAAAAATAATTTCTCTTTCTAATAAGATATTACTGTGATTTAACACACTAGCATTTCTTTAATTGGTGAATCCTTTACTGTAAAAGTGGAATCAGAACTAGAAAACCTTTAAAATAGCCTCACCATATGGAAATCATCTATGCCTCTTGCCTCTTTGAAAAACCACCAGTGAAATAAGAAAACCACTTCACGCTGATGACAGAGACTGATGATCAGATCCTCCACGAAGCCTTGAGCTCCTCTGTTATGAGAACAGTCACCCACAGGTCAAGTCACGACACTGCAAACATTGCCATTTTCTGTAAATATCTCCCATTTCTCTTTCTCCTTGAGCAACTCAGAAAAGGAAATACAGAGATTTATTCCTGCATAAAATAGAGGAGGCGGGCAAATGCAAATCAGTTTTCAGCCAGTTCTAATTTTTTGAAAAAGAAAGAACAACAAAAATAAAACACCTGTTCCCAGAGGTACAAGAGTTTGCTGTCTCAGCTCAGGGGTGCCAGTGGACAGCAGCATCGAATGAGGTTGGGTACTTAAATAAACCAATACATGTTTATGTTTGTCTTTATGTCCCTCCTGTATGGATTTACTAAATCATGGAGGATTCACAAAAAAATAAAAAAGTTGAACTCACACAGAGGCGCGTCTGAAGCAGGTGTAGCGATTTTGAGAAACCAGTCACAGGAACCCTTGTGTAGTACAATTCCCCTATCATACATATGGGATTGCCATGAATCAGAAGTGACTTGATGACAACTAGGTGCTGGTGACTATCCTACAAAGAGCTCTGATGGCCTAGTGGTAAGAAGTTGCACTGCTAACGTTAGGACATGCAATTCAAATCCACCAGCTGCTCCGAAGGAGAAAGATGGGCAGCCTCCTGCCATATAATTCACAGCCTCTGGAAGCTCTCTGGGAGGCTGAGCTCTGAGTGGGACTCTACTTACTGGCACACAATAGCAAGATTCTACTGTTTGAAATGTACCCTGAGAAAATGAGAACTGAGGCACAAAATTACATTTGTACACCAATGTTCGTTCATAGCAGCATTATTCACCATCGCAAGAACATGGAAACATCCCAAATGTCCAGCCACAAAGAAGTGGATTGAGAAATTATGGTACATTCACACAATGGGATACTATGCAGCACGCATGAGCAATAATTTTGTAAATTATTACCTAACTTGGGAGGGACTGAAAAGCATTATGTTGAGTGAACTAATTCAGTCTCACAAGGATAAATATTGTATAAAACCATTATTGTAGAATGAGTATAAGGATCCAGGAGGGGTGGGAGAGGTGGAAGCAGAGGGATGTGAATATGCAGGGTAAGAGGGGATTAATTGTCAAGTTGTACAATTTGATGAGGGGGTGAGGGAAATGGAAAGAATTTTGTTGAAATTTGTATTCAAATTTTGTAAATAAACTAGTAAAAACAATTTAAAAAGATGTTTTATAGTCTCTTTAGCAGTAAGTGAGGCAGCAGTGAATCTGAGATCCTAGACGCTCTTCCTCCTTCTCGCTCCACGTAGTTTGGAAGAATGTTCTGTAAAGGTCTGCACTGTGGCTTCATTGTAAAACAAGGGTCTGAATCACAGCTGATCCCCCTGCTTCCTTCAGTGCTCTATTCCTTAAGCTACATGTTCTCCAATTAACTCCTTTTCCTACATGGAAAGTATTCAGTGAGCTCATGTTAAGTGGGAAAGACAAAGGCTATGTCACGTCAACAAATTCCATATCCCTTCCTACACCACACAGGCAAAAATCAGCCCTAAACAAGTGAAAAGTAAGCTAACATCTCGGTCATTCGTGGATCTCAATGACTAAATCTCTCCTCATTGTTCAGTTAAGCAATTCAGACCAACTAAGGAAGATTCACACACAGATCGGGGGGGGGGGGAACACCTTGCAAATAAAAGAACTCTGTTGAGATGTACGTGTGCAATGCCAAGTAATGCAGGTTTATTGAGAAATACACAGCAGAGTAAGCCCCCGTTTTTTACAGAAACACAAAAGCAGAAGCTAGGAGACACCGCAGCAAGGTGGAAACACGTCCAAACCAACAGAGACTTGGATGTGGGTGGTGAGTTTCTGGAATTATCCAGAGGCGTACACAGCACCCGCAATCAACCCCTAAAACAGGCTTGGCACTGGCTAGAAAAGTCTTAGATTGCCAAAGGCAGAGTGTGGATGGCTAGGAGCCAGCAGTCAGGCGGTTGGAAGAGGGGTCAGCAGACAGCATGCTGGAGGATCCTGGGAACCCAGCTGGCAGGTCATGGAGTCTTGATTCACTCACGGCTCCTACACACTTAGCAAGTTCTTCGGTAGTTGGATACGAAGGACCTCTGGTACGTCCTGGAGCCACTGCAGGATGGTTGGCACACGGTGGAGACTACTCCCACTGGTTGGCACACACTGGAGATTCCTCCCACTGGTTGGCATACAGCAGAGATGCCACCCACAGGTTGGCAGACACCAGAGATGCCTCCTCCAGTCTGGCAGACACTGGAGATGCCTCCCAGGGGCTTACAGCCACTGGAGACAAAACTGATCGGCCGGCTGCAGGGAGTTGAGCAGGGATTGGAGACACAGGTTGTTTGGCGAGCGCAGGTCACCTGGCTAGGACTGGAGACACAAGAAGTTCTCTGGTAACAACTTGGCTGGCAAACAGTGGGTTCGAAGCAGGACTCTTGACAGTGATCCAGGAGCCAGGAGCCTGTTTGGAAGGAACTGGGCAAGTGGATGCTACTCAGGCAGTCAGCATCCCCAGTTGTAGCCACGGCAACAGGGCAGTGTCCCCCAGTGGGTCTGGAAGAACAATTCCTTGTGGAGCAGTTGTAGGACATGATGCCAGACAAAGGACTGTGTGTATCTTGCTGAAGTGAGCTGTGAGCTGTGAATGTCACCTTAGCCTTCACAGCTTTTATATATCCTTGTTGGTGGGTGGGGCTCTCTCTCTAGTCGCCTGTCTTCTATGGCTCAGACCTGTTTGCCTTAGAACACCTTGTGAATCTAGTTTAATTGTCTATGGAGAAGCTCTTCCCCTCATAAAGAAAGTTTAGTAGTTTGGTAACACCACTATAAGTCTCTGTACTGAACTTATTTGCAGGATTAAGAAGGCTGGTTGACAGCTTCAAAGCTATTTGTCATCTCAGTCCAAACTTCACTCCTCATTCATCTTGCTTGGAGTGTCCATCTGACTGCAACACCAAGCAAGCCACCACTCTGCCATCACACACTCTCTCATTTCTGATTGGGACACTTTACAAGACCACACCTTGCTATATTTGTGTCAGCATTTAACATATTTTATAAAGAACTTAATCAGTCATTCTTTCGTAGCTAACGGGGCTTCAAAAGGAGAGAGTACCTCTTTGAATATGCTTCAAGAAGACAGCGACAAAGATCTCTCAGGAGAAAGGACACAAGGTTGTGTATTTTGAGTATAAATTGGCACTGAAAATTAATCAGCTGATGCCCACAGAAAGGTGTTAAAGGGCAGTGGGACTCACTGCTTGTGTTCAAGCAACAGAGCAAATTAGAAGCTAATTAAGTGCAAATGCATGTGTAGCCAAGTGCCATTCTAAATAAATGGATGAGCTTTATTTCTAAAATGTTTAATCTAATAACAATTGATAAGAGCGACTCATGGGTCTCATTATTATGCCAGTAGAACAAGCTTACCTAATTTTTGTAAATTATTATAATGTTAATTTCAAAGAGCACAGAGTCTTTCTCTCAAGATGTTTAATATATTCAAAGGATATTTACCACCATGCAAATATTCATAGATAGTGTGCATTTTAATCATGTACTGACAAAGTAAAGACACTTCAAGGTCATTGTTTCCATCAGGGATAAATGTATGCAATAAAGACCATGAGAAACAGATACTTAATCAATGTTTAGTGATGAAGAGATGGGTAAAAAGTGTTACGATTTTTTTATAAGATGTGAAGATATTGTTCTCTTTTACTTCATTTCACAACAGTACAGCCAAGTATAAATGACAAAATATCCACCTTTTTTTTGTTCCTATGCACATAACTGAATCAACTGCTTTAACATGGGCAAAATAATTGCCTTCAACATTTCTTTCTGTGATATTTCTACCTCAAAACATAATCGAAAAACATCAGTGATATTTCAACCTCAGAACAGCTGAAAGATCTGACTCACTTCACAAACTGGTTTACTTGGAGAAGGGAGGAAGGGCAATAATGGATTTGCATATATTTGAGGGCTGTACGTAGACTGCATTTTAAACATCCACAAAGCAAACTGCTTAATGCTAGAACGCATCAAAAGTGCCCTTGCAAAAGCCTTCAGTCATCTCTAATTCATTCCACTGAAGCCAAGTTAGGAGTGCCCCAGGTCTCTAATTGGAGGTTAATAACACACCCAAAAGAAAGATGCTGGGCTATGTGCCGTGTTATGAGTCTCAGAGACCAGACCTCAGTATCCGGTATCTTCCTCAATGACTCACACCACATTCTCAGGTACAGAGTGAAATAAACGAGATGAGTACTTTCCACAATGTGGTGGCTATGCTTTTCCCATCATGCAGAGTGCCCCAGTTAGTGAGCGAAGGTCGGAGATACATGACATGAGAAAACTGCTTGTTTTGAAGTTATGAGGAGTTTAAAGGCTTCTACTAGCTGGGCATTAGTATGCTTCTGTGGAAAAATACTTAATCATATAAATGCTAAAAAAGTTGTCAGTAGTGAAGTTGCACAGGAGAAGCTTTTGGTACCCAGCATTGAGTTAGAGACATCACATGCACCATCCCATTGAATCCTCCCAGCAACTCTATGGGGTAGAGATTTTGTGACCTGAAGAAGTTTGTAACTCTGAAGTTCAGAGCAGTTGGGTGGCTCACCAAGGTCACATAGTTCGTATTTGGCAAAACTGAGATTCAAATAAAACAAAGTCAAGGTTCTATCCATCCACTCAGGCAATATTTAAATATGTCAGATGCACTGGAAGTCCGTGGATGATGAAAAAAAGTTAATATGTTCACTGATAAACCAAAAGTTGGGAAGTGCATGTCCATTCTGAGGGACCTTACGAGAAAGGACAGATAATTAACTTCTGAGACATCAGCCACTGAGATCAATGGAGCTCAGTTTTGCTCTGATACATATAAAGTCACTCACTATGAGTCAAAGGCAACTTTAATGAAACTTGTTTTAGTTAAAATAAGGACAAAAAATACTTTTTAAAAATAGTTGGGTTTTTAAAAATCAATTCCTCAGAGATCACACCATGAATAATACAATTGTCATCTATTTCTGGGTTAATCAGTTGATTAAAAACTACTAATTATTAGGGAGGGGAAATCTTTGGAACAGGGCACCCTGCTTAAAAAGGTGGCAGTTCAGAGAAAGAGAGGGAGACCCTTAACAAAATGGATTGACACAATGACTGTAACAATTGGCTCAGGTAAATCCGAGGTGATGAGGATGGCACAAAATAGGGCAAAGTTGAAATCCAGTGTTCATAGACACTGTGTATTGTAGTCAACTCAATGACACTTAACAACAACAATTAACTTATTAATTAAAGCAGATAGTTGCCAAAGATTTAGTTTTACTCAGATCCACTATCAATACCCATGGAAATAGCCATCAAAAGCAAACCATGTATTATTGCATTGAGTAAATTCAAAAAAAGTCACTTAAAAGACTAAAGTGCGCCTAACCCAAGCCATGATATGTTCAATTACCTTATACACATGCCAGAGTTTAACAAGGAATAAAGAAGACTAAAAATAATTGATATCTTTAAACTAAGGTATTGGCAAAGAGTGGTAAATTCAGATTACCAGAAAAACAAACAAATCTCTCTTGAAAGAAGTGTAGCCAGAATCCTCCTTAATAGCAAAGATAGTAAGACTTTGTTTTGCTTGTTTAGGCTGTTATGTGGAAGACTAGTCCCTGGAGGCAGACATTATGCTTGGTAAATCAGAGGACCAGTACTAAAGAAGAAGACCTTTAATGAAATGGATGACTGCAACAATGGTGGACTGATTAGGAGTGGGCAATATTTCTTTCCTCTTATGCATATGGCTATTATGAGTCAAAACTGATTGGCCATCCATTTCCAAAATAGGCTTTGAAAATCCTATGTACAATAGAATGCACTTAGACTAGCAGATAGGGCAACAGATGTGGGGCCCTCAATAACAGGTTGGCACAGGATAGAGCAGGGTTTAGGGCTGTTGTATATAGGGTCGCTATGAGTGGCAGGCAACTCGACAGTTCATAACAAGAACAGTAACAAGTCCCATAGCACATAACAACAACAAAAATAACAGTAACAAGTCCCAATATTTTGTATGTCTGTGTTATTGTTATTTTGTGTAACTTTTGCAAATTTTACTTCATTAGAATAAAATGTAAGGTCACTACAAGCAAATCAAGAACAGAGACAGCAATGGCTTGAAGCTACAATTTGTTAAAGTATAATTATTCAAAATTGTGAAGCATATCGCTAATTGGTAGAAAATAGGAAAAGTGTGAATTTCTTTCTCTTTTTTTTTGGCAGTGGAATAAGTTTATTCTTATGTACAGAAGAGACGGTGTGTTCATCATCCCAGTTTGGTGCCGAGTTCTTCAGCCTTGGCCTTCTTCAGCTTGGTGATGAGGACCACTGACTTGGGCCCTAGGACGTTGCCTCCCCAGTGGTGGCAGATTTCATCATATCTGTCATTGTAATTGGTTCTCACCAGAGCGCCTTTATCTTCAGTATTCACCTGCCTGAAGGCAACAGTGGTGCAGGTCTTCCGGTGGACAAGGTGGCCCAGACTGGCCTTGCCCTTGATGATGGAGTAGGGAACACACATCTTTCGACACAGGGCTGACAGGAAAATCATCAGCTCCACAGGGTCCACGTTGTGTGTGATCACCACCAGTTGGGCCTTCTTGTTCTCCACCAGGAGATCATATTCACCCTAGTACGGAGGAAAGGGGGTCTGTTGGTGGGGGTGTCTCCTTTGCCAGCAGCCTTCTTCTCAGCCTAGGCCAGCAGCCTCTGCTTCTTCTCCTTCTTGGTCTCTGGTAGGTACTTGTGGGCCAGCTTCAGCAGCTGAGTAGCTGTCTGGCAGTCTAAGGCCTGGGTAAACTGGTTAATGGCAGGTGGCACCTTGAGTTGTTTGTAGAGGATTGCCCTCTGTCACTGCAGTCGGAGGTAGCAGGGCCATTTGACGAAGCAGGTAAGATTCCTTTTGGGTTGGATGTCCTGCCTGATGCCGAAGTTTTGGGGTCTTTTCTCAAACAGGGGATTCACCACCTTCTGGGCCTCCTGCGTCTTGACCACAGTGGACACCGGGGTCTCCTTCTTCCCCTTGGCCTTCTTTCCTTTCAGCATCTTGGGCGGATGGGCGAGAGAGGTGAATTGCTTTTTCAAATGTAGTTAGCAAGCCTGAAAAACATGATTCAAAAACAATGAAACCACTCATAAAGAGTCGGCTTCTAGTCACAAACCAATAGATTCTTTCAGTGATTAAACCCTAAGAGATTTATTCATTATCATTGTTTGTGTGCAAAACTGAAGGCTTTCTGGAAAATAAATATGACTTGTATCTTACAAGATCCAGGGCCAAATGAGGACTATATGCTGTTGTGGATTCTATTTTAAATACAAGCACTTGGGCTCTATTTGGATTCACTCCAAGTGGGCAAAAGTGAAGAAACAGGAACTGCCAACCTTAAGAAGCTTGAAATTTTTACCTAATTCTAATTCTACAATGATATTAGATAAAATCAATAAATCATCCTTTCATTGGAATGCAAGAAAAAAAACAAAACCCTATCATACACCCAGCAGCTACCACTACATAGTTACG